TTTTCTTTAGTTTTATTTGGTGATCGTGTATATTTCTGTTAAAATCCTGATTTTATTTGCAGTCATTTTTTGCTTATATTCTCTTAGCTTAGTAGGAAGAGCTTAGGAAAGTAAGAAGTAGTAAAAACTGGTAAATGTGACATGGTCCAGACTTTGTTAATAGAATTAATTAGATTTCTGTGTTTTTGCTTTGCTAGGCTTGGTAATTTGAAAAGTATTAACAAGGATGATTCAATTTATAAATTGCCCATCTCTTATTAATTTGTTCATTCAACAAACATTTATTAATGGTCTACTGTGTACTTGCTATGCTGACTCTAATGTCTCTAAAGGGAAAAAGAAAAACTTATAAATGGTAACACAAACACATGGATTCTGCTTACTGCTAGAATGAATAAACTTCTTTTAGCTAAATGTTCATGGACAGGTTGGAGATCCAACAAAAATAAATAACACTTCTCTCTTTAGGGAGGGAAATTAAAGGAATTACAAGAATTTAGGCCTGGGTACGAGGGCTGAGTACTGGATTTGACTACAAAGGAAAACAAGACAAATAGGCCTGCCTAGAAAGCTTTTAAGTGTCAAATTAACTTGGGAAGCTTCTTTTTCACCCCAAGAAATGCATACATCAGTACCAAGTATTTCCCTTTGTCCATTCTTTTTATTTGTAAGTAAATATAGCTTTGACTCTAGAGTTATCTCATGCCCCAGATGGAGTAAAGTGAGGCTGTTTAAGGAAATGCTGATTCTGAAGCTTGAGATATACCCAAGTGAAGTTCTTGAAATGAGCAAGCTCCTGAAGGTTGGGCAGGGCAGAAACTTCTAACAGTAAGAGTTTAGCATTGGAATGGCCAAGAACTTATTTTTGTTGCTAGCCAGGCAGCACATCATCAGTCCCTAAGGGAATAATTGTTTTAAGCCCAGGAATATATTTAAGACTGATTCCCTCTGTTAGAAATTTGCAGTACTATTTTGAACATTCAGGGAAATAAGGGGAAAAGTATAAATAAGTAGCTTGCCTATATTCTGTTTGTTCTAGTATCTTCGTGTTACAAAGGCTGTTTTTGAAGGCGAGTTTGTTGAAAAGTATACCTTGTATCTAAATTACTAGTATCTATAGTTCTGGTTCCTTTTTCTTTTTTAATTCTGTGGATGCTAACCACTCAAGAAACAAAGCTTACTTTGAAATGAAAACTTTTACCCCAAAGTAACACATCTGAAATTGGAAGCAAATAGTTCTTGCTATGTTGCCACCCCTACCCACATTAATTTTTATTTATTTATTATTAGCTAGCAGTTGTAACCATGGACAAGTCATTTTTTGAATTTTGGTTTCTGCTGTACTAGTGGGTGGATGAGGTGACTTTTTAAGGTCTTTCCAGATTTGGGATATAGCCTCAGAATTCTTCAGTCTAGTATGAATGCATAATCAGTACTCACTCCAGAAACCAGTATCCCTTAGGGGCTGATGATGTACTGCCTGACTGACCAAGGCCTGGCCACACCCATGCTAGAAGGAAGGAACCTTCTCAAAGGGGCAGGGCCTGAGCCCTTCCTCAGATCAGCTGACCCTTGCTCTTTAGGTAAAAGGTTCTTTTTTGCTTGGAGTGATTTCAGGTTGTCCATTTAACCATTTCAAATGAAGAAGCATGTAGAAAGAATGACAGCATATTTTAACAGCAGAAGAATTTAATAAGCCTTGTTGGAATTAGTGGTTTTTGGTTGGTTGGTTTTTTTGTTTGTTTGTTTTGTGGTGTATGTGTTTTTTGGTTTTTTATTTTAGAGGACATTTATTAAAGCTGGAAACTGTGAAACAAGGAAGGGTGTGGGATAACAGAAGGGGGACTAGGTAGGGAAATGAGCCTAGGCTGGGCTGTTTTGGCTCACTAAGAAGTCAGAGAAAAGGGGACCTTGGGCGCAGGTTCAGGGGTTTGCCTGGGAGGAACTGCTGCAGCCCTTTGCTCCTCTGGTTGTAAGCCTCGTGGAATCCCTTAGAGTTTAGAAGATGCATGCCTGTGGGGGAAGAAGAGGAAGAGGGAGTAGGGGAGGGGAAAAGCCAGGTCATACTCCCTGGAAGGAGATTGTACTGGATTTGGTGGTTTTTAACTCATGTAAACACTGATGAAACCATGAATGGCCCTACTTTGTGAACGTGTGTTCTGAAAAGTTGGAAGTTAATCCACAGGAACAATATTAAAAGGTGGTTAAGTGTGTTGTAGTCCAGCCACCTATTTAACCCAGAATGTTGTTGCTATAATACCATCTTTTTTTATGACAAATAGTAGCTGATAGTATTGTAAAATTAGTTTAGAGGAAATATATAATTAATTTGAATCATAAATATCTTAAAACTTCCTGACATAGTATAATACTACTTATTAAACACAATTGAAAACTGAAGAATTCAATGCCAGTATTTACAAAAATTAAAAATTAAGTATTTGAGCAAGTTTAGTGTAGTGTATAGGTAGATGTCAGCAGGAATTCTAAAGTTACTACCTCTCTACTGATCCCTTCATCTCCTTCTGCCTTTATATGCAGGGATAGGCACATGTCTTCCAAAGAGTAAAAGAAAATTATTCCATTGAGCCTACTTTAGTATATTCGCCTCCATTAGTGTTTCATCTCCTTTTTACTGAGATTCTTGTAGACTTCTCTCTCACCAGCTCACTATATTAGCCCTTGCAAGGATGATCCTGCTCTTTGAATGTTACTCTTGACCTCACCAAGAAATCAGAAGTTAAAAAAAAAAATTGTGGTCCATGCTTGGGAGTATTTGAAACACCTGGTTTTTGTGATGCTGGTTCTCTCATCCCTTGATCCCACAGCAGTAGAGATTCCTGACTTCTCCCCTGTGTCATACTCACAATTGTTCATTTTCTGTCTTTCCTTCCATGTAGTATAAGCTCCATGAGGTCAGAGACTATCTAGCCTTGTTTACTGGTCTCTGTTTAGTACCGGGCCTAATGTTGTATAGGTTAATGAATAAATATTTATTAAATAAATGAATGATTTTTTTTTTCTGTCTCCCAGTGAGAGAGCTCTTTAGGTTCTGTTGTTGACCCTGTCCTGCTATTTCTTACTTGCTTTTTTTCATTGATAACGATGCCTTTTACTGTTAAACTGTGAATACAGTACCCATTGTTTTCATTTTGACAAGTTTCCCTGTATTTCAACCCCTCTTCTTTGTTCCAAATTTATTATAAAGAAGAATTTACAGTTCTTTCTAAGTGGAAAAGTAGATTACCAAATGGCCTATTAAGTAGTTGAATAGGAACAGTAGGGCCACAACTGAGATTTACCTACTTCCTCTTGCTCATTTTCATCCTGTTGATCTCTCGTAAAGACATGTTTTCCCTGCCTTTAGTTTCTGTTCCTCCATTCTATTCTTAATGTTCTGACCAAAGCAATCTACTTAAATCAGTGGTCTGATCAGGTACTGATTTTCTCTTGCCCTATAGAATAAAATGTAGGAATTGGCCTTTTGTTGTTGTTGTTTTTCTGTGAAGTCAGGGGGCATATATTTCAGTTCAGAAATTGGAAAAACCAACCATGTTTAGAACTACCAGAAATGGGACCAGACTGTCCCAGTAGATGTTGCGTTCCCCCTTCACTGGTCAGGATATAGAAGGCTGGTAAGCAGTTCTCAAATGGGATGGGTTATTGGAGATTTGAAGCTCTAAGTACTACTCCAGGCCTTTGATCGTATCTTTCAAACTGCTCAGGCTTTCCACAGTCTGGCCCAGGTACTTTGTTAATGATTAGGACATCTTATTCACCCCCACTGCATCTTGCATGCAGTAGGTGCTAAATATATATTTATTCGGTGAATAAATAACTTCTACTTTCTGGATATTTATATGGGTGGATGGGCTCAAGTTGTTTTGTTTCCACTTCAGATTTGATTTTCTGATGTGGAAATATCAGATCTGGATTCTAAGTACTGGGATCCGGTCTTGGGCCTCTGCATGTGTGATCATGGGCAAGTTATTTATTGTCTCTGAGCCTGCTTTTTTATCTGTAAAATTAGAAGGACAGTTACTGTAAAGTAAGTTATTATAAGGACTAAATGCATGGAAAAAATGTTCCAAGAATGCTTTACAAATGTTAGAAATTGTTCAAAATTGATTGCTTTTTGTTTAATATATTATTATTAATATATAGGTATGTCACTACTATTATGCTTTCACTCTATAATAGGCTTATATTTTAGCCTAGCACAGGAAATAAGTATAGTTGCTTTCTCTTAAAAAGCAACATATTTCCTCAGCTCCTGAAGGTAAATTTCTCTATTACTGAATTCTTGATATTTGAATTCCAAGCTACCTGTGTCTGTGGATTTCTTGTCTTAGTTTTTGTGTCAGATTTGGACAGAGGTTCAAAAAGTACCACTGGCAAAATTAAATAACATTTTTTCCCCCAAATAGACCACATTTGGTAGCGATTTTTCCAATTTTAAGATTTGTCTTAAATTATTTGGTGCTTATGTTTTTATTTTTAGGTGACAAAATCAGTGAGCAATTAGCAAAAGGATTTTAATGAAAATGTTATACACTTTAATTTTTTATTCTTTATTCTTTATTCGTATTCCATATGCACTTATACATTGTACATTTCATAATTACAATTTTATATTACATATAAATGCTATAATGATGTATTGTGATGCTTTCTCCTAGATTGCATGTGATGGAATTAGATATGTCATTAATCTGTGGTGCTTCATACAGAGCTCTTTCTGAGTGCAAGATGAGTGGGTTCATGAAACACTGCTTTGTGAAGTAGTACCTAGTAAGAGATTTGCTGTTAAGAAAGGGCAACTCTTGAATCCGAGAAGGGAAATAGAAATATCTCACTGACCAGGGCTGCCTTTACAAGTGAGATATAGTAACAGATCAGATTTTCATAAGATAAGGATTCTACTTTGGAATAGAAAATTATCGGTATTTGTTGTTTTCTCTTAATATAGTAAATCTTTGTTTTTTCTCTCCTTTACCCAGATCAGTATATGTTTTGTGCCCTATTCTTTTATCACAAAAAAGAGAAGAAATACTGCAGTGAATGAAGATTCCTCTGCATTTTAGCACTGCTTTTTCTACTGTAGTTGGCTTTTGAATGAGGATGACAATGGAAGAGATGAAGAATGAAGCTGAGACCACTTCCATGGTTTCTATGCCCCTCTATGCAGTCATGTATCCTGTGTTTAATGAGGTAGGTTGGGATCTCATGGGATCTCTGTAGTTCCTTAACATTTGTTTGTTTGTTCCTTCATATAGCAAATACTTATATAAATGAACTCCATCTATGTGTTAGGTATTGTGCCAGGACTGGACATAAAACTGGGAGGAAAACCCAAGATACATTGTTCTGCCTCTGGAGGTTTCACTGTAGTAGCAGAGAGATACATTAAACAAAAGAATACAAGTAATTAGATAAATGAAAAATTGTGGTAAGTGCTATGAAGTTAAAAAAAAAAAAATAGGTGGGACCTGTTTTAGAGGTCAGGGCAGGACTCACTGAAGGAGAGACATGCTAAGCTCTGAAAGGGATAAATACGGATTAGACAGTTGAAGAGTTAGGGACAAGCAAATTTTAGATAGCCAGAGGAGAAGCACAAAAATATCCTAATGAGTTACAGTCAGTAGCGACATTTTACTGATAAATAGAACATACCAGTGCTTTGTATTTAGAGAAGATGTGGTTGCTTTTTTTATTTGAGGAATATTCTAGGACTTAATAATATCAATATATTTTTGATTTTTCTTTTAAATTAATATTAATTTGCTAAGGTGTGTACAGAATTCTAGAGCTGTGCAAGTTTCTTAAATATAATCTAATCACTTCCTCCTTTTAATGGTAAACTAAGGTCTTGATATGTGAAATTATTTTTCTGAAATTACCAATAACTAAAATCTAGGACTCCAAATTCAGTGGCTTAATGCTTTTTATCTATTTAATTAGGTCCGTCCCCCCCCCGTTTTATTAATCTAATTAATTATAAAGCTATTGATTCCATTAACCTTATTGTTATTACTGTAGCCTGGAAGCCGTTACTATTTCTAAAAGCTTTTCATCTCTTTTTGTAAAATAGTTACATTAGAGTAAGATTGTGGGCTTCAAAACCATTTATCCCACATTATTAGGTTTAATAATGTATTTGATGTATTTTATGATCTAATGTCTTGGAGCCAATAGAGATTCATCCTCTTCAACTTGAAATCCAGAGACTTAGTTTTCAGTTCATACAAATATTTTGAACTTCAGACACTGTCCGCTAGGTAGTGTTAGGCTCAGTGACCATAGAAGAAAATGCAAAGCAGTGGCATAGGTAAAATTTATTTCTCTTACATAAAAAATTACACAGGTAAATGGACTAGGGCTAGTATTTTGGCACAGTATCATCAGAAACTCAGTTCCTGTCTTCTGTCCCATCGTCTTAGTGCTTACCTTCCATTTTTAAGATCACTTCAGCATGTGGGATGGCTGCTGAAGCTCATCATGTCCTAAGTTGTTTCCTGGAAGGGGCAAAAAATGGAGGGGTTGGGGGTATTACTTCCAGGTATTATTCTTAATAACCTTTTGAATGTCCTGTACAAGATTTCCATTTACATCTCACTGGCAAAAATGTAGTCTTATGACCACACCTAGATGCATTAACATCCCTAGATGCAAAAGAGATTGGGAAATTTAGAAGTTTGCTACTAAAGAGGAAGCAAGTAGGCATCTTTTGAAAAACCTGTCTCTATTATACTGCTATAGTGCTAGCTTCTAAGGCACTCTTTTAGTGCTGGATACACCTATCTCTGGCAGCAATAGCAGGCTCCAGTAAGTAATTCCACCATTTTCTTCTAATACTTTACCCATTCAATGCAAGACTAGAGTTACTGTTAGAAGCAAGTGCTGTTTAGTATTTACTAAATGCCAACCATTTTATTTGCTGAGTGTTCTGCTCCGGTTTGGAGATGTGGAGAAAATAAAAAGCATTTTTAAGCATTGTAAAACACAGATGCTTAAGCAAATAAATTATAAGCATTGTAGGGAACACAGATGCTTAAGCAAATAAATTATTTAATTATCTGTATACAAGGTAAGACTTAAGCTAATGGGTAATCTTGACGACTGGTTGGTGGACTTCTCAGGTACTTTAAGAACCATTATGACAGTTCTTCCCAGAGGTGCTCCCTCTTTGCGTGTCTGTAGTCTAACTTTGTAGGTAACTCAGTAGGCTGTTGGGACAATTTGTAATGGGGGATATTCTGTATTTACCTTGTTATTTTGAGTCTTTTTCTTGAAAGGAGGGCAATTACATGTCTGAGCTTCAGTCTGATCCTTTCATTAATGAGGAAGAATGAGAAAAGCTTTTTTAACAATTTGGGTGATCTTTTTCTACATATGGAAAGTGAATTTTATTTCAGTCTTGACTTTGGAAAATGATTGTATAGGTTGTGGCATCCTGGTAAAATGCACTGTTGGGATTAATACTGACACAACCTTTCCTAATACATTCATGTATAAGGAAAGTTAACTTGAAAGAAAAGAATGGCTATGAATGGACTAGTAAATCTCTTTCAGAGATAAAGGCAGTGATTCTCTCCAGATGAGATCTGAAAATAAATGTAGGTTAATGGAAGTGGTTCAAGAACTAATTGTTAGAAGTAAAATTTGAAAAAGAAATGACTAGATGTGGCAGACTGAGAGATACTGCATCAAATTGTCAGGGTCTAATTCTCAGATTGAAATTACTGATCAAACATAGTATACAGGCTTTTTAAAAAAATTATTTCTGTCCTGTATTTTAAAAAGAGTATTCAGAATTAATAGGCTTTTAGGAATATTGGTAGTAGTAGGTTTCCTCTTTGATAGAAGTGAAACCTTGGCCTTGATTTAGGAATGGAGTCAAATAATTATTGCGCCTTCAAATGTGAAGTGTTTGGTTAAAAAGAATAAAATACTAGCATTGTTCTCTGACATTCCAGTGTATTAATGTAACATCTTAAATAAGATACCTAATCAGCTAATATTTATAGTTCAGAGGTGGATTTTGATATAAATCTACTCATTGGGAAATGAGTTAGTTTGGCTTTTGTTTTTCTGTGCTATGCAGATTTAAAGATAAGTGGTTATCAAATTAATCCTGCAGAAAGTAGTACCACAGTAGGGATGAACATTTTGCTCTGAAACTAAATGAACCACTAAATTTTGTCCATAATGTAAGATGAGAGTGAAAAGGCTTATGCGTTCTCACCATAACATTACATCCATAATAATAACAATGGTGGGACTCGAAGTCATCCTGTAGAACAGATTTTTAGTCAGCAGTACATCCTTACACCTGAGGAAATCTTAGTACTCCAGCTCACAAGGTAGAATTATTTATGGCATTCTGGGAGCTTGATGCTTGCTAAACTTAATGAAGCTATGCTAGGACAGCTGAAGGAGTGGGCTTGTTTAATCAGCAGCTGCAGAGTTCAGAGTCCAAGTATATTGCATGTGTTGTAAATGTACTGTGAAATAGGTCTCCTGGTTGCATTATGGAATGAGTTTATAGAAACCTCATGCTAAGTGTTAGATCAGATTCTCATGTACTTAATACTTTTCACTAATTCTTTATATTTGGAGGAGAGCTGCATGGTTCATTTCTTTATTCCAGGAAAAGATTTATCATGTATTTTATTTTCCCGTGACTTTTTGGAGGAATTGTTTTAAGGTGAAATATAATTTACGAAGAAGTAGGTATTTTGAGACAGAAGTAACAGTTTTGCAACCAAAGATGAATTTTATAATCAAAGGATTATATGCTTGTTTATTAATCACAAAAACCAGCACTTCTGAATAAGTAATTAGTATCATTCTATTCAGAAGCATCCAAAGCAGCTATTTCTGCTCTCAGCAGAATATGCAACTCTTAGTTTACCAATACGGGAATGAATCCTGGGATTACTTCTCCAGCTTTATGTATCTACCTATTCCATTTTTTTTTCCTAGTGAAAAAAAAATCAAATCCCAAATTTTGAGCATAGTAAACATACTTTTTCACAGTGAAGGCTTGGGTTTCACCTGCAATACCACCATCCAGAGGTAATCATAGTTAATATTTACATTTTGATTACTGCTCTGTCACTTACTAGGCTATATAATTTTGTCTTAGTTTTCTTATGTGTAAAATGAAGATAAAAACTAATTCTCACCCTCGCCAGGGTTTTCAGTGGTTAGAGGATCTGCCCTCACACCTAAGGGTGGCAGGTTTGATTTCCAGTCAAGGTTGGGGCATGTGCGGGAGACAACCAATATGTCTCTCTCACATTGATGTTTCTCTCTCTTTCCCTCCCTCTCTCCCCTCCTGCCTCCCACTCTCTCTAAACAGCAATGAAAAAAATATCTTTAGGTGAGGAGTAAAAATAATAATAATAATTCTCACAACTCAGTGAAATAAATGAGTTAATATATTGTAGTGCTTAGAATAGTAGCAGGCATTGTAGTTAGCTTTAATTATTAAGTAGTGTTCCACGTAATTTCCTGACAAAATTGTGATGATACCCTAGTTTTGCTTACTTATAAGCAATGTTTTAAAGGAGTATGTTTATATTAGTTAGGTGGTTCTGCTTACCTTTTTGCCAGACAATATGGCATCCCCAGGAACTGATTCTTTTAGAAACATTTATTGAACTTACTATGTACAAAACACAGATGACTGCATTTGCTTTCTCTTTGGCAGTAATATTTGGGGATGGAGTGGGAGGTATGTCAGTATGGCAAATCATATCTGATTTTGAGGAAGTAAGATTTGGAGACATTTCAGAACTAACTAGCCTAATTATTTTGACTTTAAAAAAACTTTCAAAAGATTTTATGCAGGACTCTTTAAAACTTAAGCAACCAAAAGGTTAGATGGATTTGTTTAAATAGTGGGTTTAAGAAACTGGCTTGATACTACAAAATAAAGTATAGTAATTAACTGATACTTCTGGAGGGAGCAAATAATAAATGAGCTCTATGGAGTCAATGTCTAACCTTTTAAAATATTTTTAAAATAATCTAGAGAGTAAAATTTTACAAGTTTGCAGTTAATGGTGCTCTCAAAAGCTATCAAGAATAAGTTGCAGGAGGAGTTCACAAAACAGAGTGGTCAGAATATAAGGTTGGGGTGAGACCTAATGCTAACATTTCCCTCCAAATGTACTTCAGCAGGCACTTTTCCTTCTCTTTTAGGTGAGATGAGGTGTTATGTACCTTTTTCTCTCACTCCGATATTCTTCTTTTCCTTTACTCTTTTATGGATGACATCGGAGTTCTTTATGAAGGAGGCCCAAGGAGTGCCTCTCCTTGTCCCAGGATCCATTAATGCAAAGTGTACTCATCTATTCCCTCTTCTTTCTTTCCCTCATCTATTCTACTTTCTTTCAGTGCAGGTGTATGCACTGTTAAGTACTACTAAAAAATGAGTGCATTGACTCTTTAAAGATACCCCAGCCAAAGACTGTTATCCCAAAAGCAAAAAAGTGCTGATCTCATTAGTAAAAGTATTGGAAACAAAATAGAAATTCTATTCTAATCTTACATAAAGTCATTATGTCCCCATGTTACAACCCTGAGGAAACCCATAAGTGGGAGAACTGCCAAGGAAGATGATTTTAAGAGGCCACACTCTTCAAGGACCAGTTCAGATCTCATCTTCATATTTTTATCTACTTTAGTTGACAGTGGTTCCATTAATTTCCATGTAGCTGCTTTCTTAAATCTGTCTTCTGGGGTTCCAGGACTATCCTCTGTTTCTTTGCATCTCTCTCACTGTCTCCCTTACACATGGTGGAAACTCAGGTATTTGTTGGTTCTTAAGTAGTTGAAGAGATTCACTGATATGGTAGACTCCACTGTGGAGAGGGTGAGTACAGGGAGACAGGGTAGCATTAGTGTTTTGTGCATGGATTTTGGAGCCAGACACATCTGGTGTGAATCCTCTCTTTATTTCCTAGCTGTTTAACATTTGTATAAATTTATACAAACTGAGTTTATTTTTCTATAAGATGGAAATGATGATATCTAGTTCCAGATTTATTGTGAGGATTATAGATACTCTCTATAAAAATACTGTGTATAATAAAGGCCATAATAATTAGGGTAGCTGTTAGAATATTACTGGAACCTGATATTCTCATAAAAGGTACTAATAAGATGAACATGATTTTATTATGAAATCATATATCACAAGTGAGAGGCCTGAAGTAGAAGCACTTTTAATTGGGAAGAGAAAAGCATATCTTGTTACCTAAGTATTACAGGCTAAAATTATAGATTCAAGAACAATTTAGATAAATTTGTGGATGAGAGATTAAGTTCAGTTAAAAATATATATGCACCTATATGCCTGATACCCCCTGGGCAATGTGGGTATCATAGAGGTAATAAAACCTAGTGGGTTTTTGCAAGATGTGTGAGTATATAGTGTATCCTAGAATGACTCCTCTCAGAGTTCTGGTGAGGTGTTTCACACTTCACAGATTTGATTTAGTATGTTTCCTATGACCTTCCCCTTTCTTTTCTAAGGTACGCATATGTAAAAATCTAGAAATCTAGAGATGTTGATGGTAAAGGAAGTTGGCTAATTCTATGAGTTCCTCACTGACTTTTCTTGGGCCCTTTTACATTCCTTTCACATATCAGGGCATTACAGAATGAGTTATATTGCTGTTATTGAAGGCACACATCTGACTCAGACCTTTGACTTGTTGAAAGAGGTCAGAATGTGGTGGTAACCCAAATGAGGAAATAGGTTTCTGTCAGGGTGGAAACATTCATCCTGTCTCCTCCTGCCTGTCTCTTGCACAAGAAGAACTTGAGATCAGATGAGTTGTATTGTTATTTTAATCTACAGTTGAAGTCCTTATAATTAAATGAATTCTGTGAGGAAAAAATTCATTTTTGGAGATATACCTCTTTGTTAACTTTATAAATGTCTCATAGAATTGCTTTTTTGCTATATTTGCCAACCTGGTCCCCTTGTGTTTCCGTATTACCTCTGAAGGCAGCGTTAGATTTGCAAGATGTGTAGAAGCTAAGTTAAATACTAAATCAAAGGGCCCACTGTTTATTTTTGGAGATAAAATATTTATCTTGTCAGATTTTGTTGCTTTTGCCTGTGCTTAAGGTGAGTAACTTATAGGGAGATAAGGTTCTTAACATTTCTGTCTTGTTTAGAAAATAAATTGATTCAAAGTGTTAGAGATTCCTTAGATATGTATATATACAGGGTAGGTAAAAGTAGGTTTACAGTTGTTTGTATGGATAATAATACAAGAATAAACTATTTCACATACTCAAAACTAAACCTGTTTTTGCCCCACCCTGTTATGTTATTTATAAAGGAAAACCTACATTTTCACTGCCTCAAGAGATTGAAAGGAATATTTATTGTGTAATAAATGCTTATGAGGTTTTTGTAGAAATTTTCTACTTGCATAAAAATTTATAAAAGTCAGAATGCTTTTGAACGTTTAATATTGTCCCAATTAAAAGATACATACACTGAATTTTATTGAGTTAACTGGCCTATTCCTTAGGGACTAAAGAAATCTGAATTTGACTGAAGATAGTTATTTTAAGCCTGACAGTTAACTCTTCAACTAAGAGGTTTTTTTGTTTTGTTTTTTTTACAAAATTGTATGCCTTCTTTGGCTCACTGAAAATGAGTTATATAAAGTGTCTCAAGGTCATTTTATCTTCCAAAATTATAAACCTTACATATTTGGTATAAAAATTAAAAGCATTTGGATTGAACTTTGGATTTAGTATTTTACTAACTCTTTTTTAATCCTGATAAAAGAGAGAACAGATATAAGCATCTCTGAAATCCGGTGATCCACAGTCTTCAATTTGAGTGTCAAGCAAACCTTTTATCTGCACTATTTGCTAATTAATAAAATAGACTAATCTCAGCTTAATCCTTGGCTGAGGGGATTGTAAAGCAATTAGGAAGGAGTAAGGTAGTAAATACAAAGAATCTTAAGTAATAAATGTTTTCTTTGTATTTGTCATTTTATATTCAGTATATACACACACACACAATTTGCCATGTATTTGCAGCAGAGCATTGAGAGTTAATCTTAAACCTTCCCTGTTTTTAATAATTCAAGTGATTATATTTATTCTTTCTGTAGGGACTTATTTTGTATTTTGTGCTTATCTTAAATGTACCTTTAAGGTACAGGGTTTCTTTAAAAAAAAAAAAAAGGAATAAAGAACTGATATGCATACCTTTATTTTTCATGGTTTCTGATGAAAATTTTAGATAGAATCTCTTTGGAGAATTATAGTGATTTAGCAGTAATTTTTGTTAGTTGAGTGATGTATGTATCAGTGTGCTTACTATAGAGTAGGATATCCGAAATGTTGCTTTTTCTAAGAAAGTTGATATTAATTTTGATTTAAAATTTTTATTGCAGCTAGAACGAGTAAATCTGTCTGCGGCTCAGACACTGAGAGCAGCTTTCATTAAGGTGAGGCAAAAGTAACTTACTATGGTTATTAAAATGTATTTTATACATAAACGTAAATACCAGCTGATAATTGCCAGGTTATTTTTTTAGTTATGACCCTTTCAACCATCTTGCACCTGTTTTGGCGTACTCTGTAAAGCTTAACACGCTTCCAAAAAGTAAGCCAAAACAAGTGCTCTTTCCTTAAAGTTCATCTTTTCACTGTGTGCTTTTGAAACTGACTTTGAAGTTAACTTTGGAGTAGATTTTTAAATTATTTTTTGTTTGACTTGTTAAAAACTTCTGTAAAATTATAACTCAAACAGTGTTTCTTCATATTGTTTAATTATAGAACATAAGTATAAAACAATGTTTTTGAGTGGGGAAATAAGACCCATGTGTTCATCAGATTAAGGACACTTTGAGAATATACAGCTAAGTCACTCAGCATGAATTTTTTCATTGTCTCTAGACCTGAGATTTTCAACTGGTAATCACTAGTCACGTGTCTCTGTTAAGCATTTAAAATATGGCAAGTTCCAAGTAAGTTGTATTGCACATATAAAATACACACCAAATTTCTAAGACTTAGTACAAAAAAAGAATGTAAAATAACTCAGTAATAAGTATTTTATATTGAGTACATGTTGAAATAATATTTTAGATACTCTTAAGATAATTACATTTTTTTCAAAAAATTAAAATATGGCTACTAGAAAATTTAAAATTACAGAGGCTTATATTTGTTTCTTGCATTGTATTTTTATTGGATGGCCCTACCTTACATATTTGGTGCATTCTTTCATATAAAACTTTATCCCCATTCCCCAAAATACATATCAGGATGCCTCAAACTTTAATTTTTATTTACTTTTTTTGTGTTTGTTCCCATCAGTAGCTAAAACAACTTATATTTTAGGTAAAGTATTTTAATGTTTAAATCTAGAATAAATTTATAGTTGAGATTCCTTGGAGTTGAAAGTATAAATCCATCTAATATTTTAATGGCAAAGATTAGTTTATAGGTATCACTCTTAACTGATAGTATAATGTCACCTGACACCCCCCCCCCCTTATCTCTCCACAAGAAATTACATTGTATTTGTTAGATTGGAACTATTTAGATGTGCTTAATACTCTAAAGTGTAGTGTCAGGGTACACATTCATACTAGCTTCTTTAAAACATATCCTTGCGAAATCATTGGGTTAATGAAGAAAACCAGCAAATCAATACCCTTTTTTTTTCTTATTTGCTTATTAGTGTGGTTTGAAATAGCATATTTGGTCATTAGGGAGGCTTAATGGCAACTATTTTAAGCATGTACATAACCAAAGGAAAGAAGGAAAAGTTATAGGTTGCACAGTTTGCTATTGGTAAGGCAAAAGTCAGTTTTTCAGCTCTCCTGCTACCAAGGACAGAAGGTCTCTTGTGTGTTCTGGTAGAGAAGACCCTATCTGAAGCAGTAGATTGTATACTAAATGATATTCATACAAGAGATAAAATAATGAATTTCATGAAGCTTTTTCTTGTAATGTCTTTATATATAAGCTTATGTTTTAACACTGAAGTACAAGTTAAAAGCGAACAATATGTTTACAGTGTGTGGCTATGGTAGATCTGGTTTGATACATGGGCACATTTTGCTATCCACAGCAGGGATACTTAACTGGGGATAGTATGAGTTATTTTGGAGGAAAACAGTCAGTTTTGCATTGACTTAATTAGCACATTTAATTTGTTAAATTTCAGATGAAATTAAAGGAGGCATGCATTGGAAAGATGATGATTTTTGTGTTTATATGCATATTTCCATTTCTTGGTCCACAACAACAGTTGTATTTATCAAATTTTAATATCTATTTTTGTTATTTGGGGGAAAAGGGTTAAAATAATTTTTTTTCAAGATAAAATAATACTAGTGAGAATCTATTCTTGCTTTAGATTCCTTTCCCTTCTAGAGGTTCTGATAGATTGTGCTGTTGAGAATCACCGATTCGCAAGAATGGATATTACTACCCTTGGGAATAGCTTTCTCACAGTTGGATTCTTCGTAGAAATTGGATACCCATAGTGTTGAGGGTTTTATTCAAGGGAGGGGGGACCTGTAGTTATATAGTCTCTGATTTAATGGTAGCTCTATTTATTTTGTTAGAGTCATTGGGTAAATTTAAGGCTTTTAAAATAAGAAGTAGCTTAGGTTAGACTTCATACAGAAGATACTAAGACAACTATTCTCAAAGTATGTGCTGAAGTATCCTGGGTCCCCACAGCAAACTCGGGTGTCATGAGATATTTTAAAATTTTGAAGAAACAGTGCTGTTCAACATCTGGTTGACACTGAACTACTAGCTTGCATACTTGCTGATTCATCATATTTGATTGGACTACATTCCTTTCAGTCGTGTCATGTCTGTTAGCTGGACTTTTGGCCATTGCTGTGATAAAAAGCAAGTGCCACAAGAAAATCAGTGTACAACAGGAAGTGAGGGTAGAGTGTCCAATCTAATTCCAACATTTGAGTCATTGTACATTGCCCAACATTGTGCACAGGTCTCATTAAAATAGTAATTATGGTTATTTAAGAATGAAATTAAATACTTTCAATTTTTGCATTTTTTTGAGGGCTACTAAGTTGTTAGGACTAAGTCGTTTGAACCTATTTAATACACAGTACTGTTAGGTATTTCTTTTGGCACTAAGAACACTGAGCTGAGAAAGTTAGGGACCTCTGTGAGATTTCTGTAATGTTCTAGCTTTCGCATTTTGGGGCCCCAGACCAACCTGGTATTGAAAACTTTTTCAGGCTTTCAGCATTTAATTTTTTCAACACCTTATTATAATTTAATCAGAGAGATTGTTTTCTGCAGGCAGTGTCTGGAAGCATACAGAGAATGCTCCCCTGCTTTCCAAGATAATGTGTTATGATACTTTAATGCTACTTAGGAAAGATAAGCCAATTATCAAATACTAGCTTATTTAAATAGTGTATTATATGTAATTTTTGTAGCAGTTCACCAAATTTATAAAGTTTATACTATACTATCCTAAGCCATTTGTATAGCTAGCTTTTCTTTTAAAGGCAACTCTTGTTTTCTTTAATTAAATAGATCCTATCTTAAATATATTTGTGGAAGGAAAAATTAAAACAGATTATACAGTGGTTCCCCCTTATCCACAGTTAAACTTTAGTTACCTGTAATTAACTGCAGTCCAAAAACATTAAATGGAAAATTCCAGAAACTAAGTTTTATAATTTTAAAATTTTAAATTTATGACCCTGCCGATGTTGCTCAACCCATGCACAAAGAGGTTACGTGATCGATTCCTGGTCAGGGCACATGCCCCGGTGCTGCCTCGATCCCCAGCAGGGGTTGTGCCAGAGGCAGCCGATGGGTGTTGTTGCATCTGTGTTTCTGTCTCCCTCCCTTTCCCTTCCTCTCTCTCTAAAAATCAATAAAAACTTTTTTTTTTAATGTGGAAATTATAAATTTATATTTTAAATTTTAAAATTCCAGAAATAAGTTCATAAGTTTTAAGTTTTCTTTCAAATATTGGGGTGTAATCTCACACCATCTTGCTCAGTCCCACCCAGGACTTGAATCATCCCTTTGTCCAGCGTCTCCATGCTGTATATGCTCCCCTCCATGATCCATTTAGTCACTTTCTCAGTGATCAGATCAGTCTGTCGCAGTATTCCAGGGCATGTGTTTAATCCTTATTTTACTTAATAATGTCCCCAAAGCTCAAATGCAGTTATACTGGCAATTTGGAGATACCAGAGGGAAGCTACAAAGTGCTTCTTTAAGGGAAAGGGTAAAAGTTTTTGACTTAATAAGGAAAGAAAAAAATTTGTATGTTGAGGTTGCTAAGGTCACTGGTGAGAACAAATCTTCTATTCATGAAATTGTGAAGAAAAAAAAATTCGTGCAAGTTTGCTTTCGCACCTCAATCTACAAAAGTTACAGCACAGTGCATGATGAGTGTTTATATAGTTAAGTAAAAAAATCATTAAATTTGTGGGTGGAAGCCATAAACAGAAAATGTTCCAATTGATGACAAAAACATGTTGCACCAGAAAACATTGAGCCCGTGTAAAGACTTCAGCAAGGGATCCCCTGAAACGAGTGACACCAAGCCATTTATTGCAAGTAAGGGTTGGTTACAATAAGATATTTTGGTAGAGAGACCATGTTTATGTAACTTTTATTACAGTATATTGATATAATTATTCTTTTTTATTGTTGTTGGTCTCTTATTGTGCCTAATTTATTTATAAGTTAAACTTTACCATAGATATGTATGTATAGGAAAAACATAGTACCAGACAGTCCCCAACTTATAATGATTTGACTTAATGATTTTTCAACTCTACAGTGGTTTGAAAGCTGTTCGCATTCAGTAGAAACTGTACTTGGAGTTTCGAACTCTCATCTTTTCCTGGGCTAACAATATGCGGTCTGATACTTTCAGGATGCCAGGCAGTAGCAGTGATCTGTGGTTCCCAGCCAGGGTAAACAACCGATACTGTGTTCCCAGTGTTTTTTAGATACTGTGTTCTGAGTATAGGTAGGTTTGGCTAAGATATGATGTTCAGTTGGTTAGGTGTATAAAATGCACTTTCAAGTTAGGATATTTTCAATTTGTGATGGGTTTATAGGGTCATAACTTTATCGTAAGTTGAGGAGCTTCTGTATGTATAGGGTTTGGTGCTATCCAAGGTATTGCCCATGGGTAAAGAGAGACTACTTACTGTTAAAGGAAATGGAGTTCAGTAGGACACACTTTATTGTTACTAATTACCTATCAAAATGACTTCCCTGAACATCATTTGACAACAGTTAAAATGATGTCAGGATTGACATAAATGTGTGTATTTTCTTTGCCCATTTTATTCTACAACCTTTTAGTTTTTGATACTGAATCTAATGAGAAACAAGATGTCATAATGGAGAGAGTAATAGGAGCAGAAGAAAGCTGGATCTGCAATGATACCAGAGTGGAATTGAAAAGGCAGAGATTAAATGTGCTTGACACACAAGAAAACAAATAGGTTGCCATCTGGTTAAGATCATAAAGTGTTTCTATTTTCTGTTTAATATCAGGGCAAGAAAGATGGGAAATCATCAGCATAATGATTAAAATTGGCATCCTAAAAGAAACCAAGATATTGTGTGATTATAAGATTTAAAACAATTATAAAATGGGACAGAATTACTGGGGAAAAGCCAAATCTTGAAAATTTACTTGGTCGACACAGAACTCTTTACGCTCAGTTCTGAAATTACTAGACAATTTTAGTGCTCTAGGGTGTAACGTAGAACCAAATGCAAACTCATTAGTGAAACAAGCTCAGGAGGTAGTAAAAGGATTAGTGATGTTCAGAAAACTAGTGAAGGAAATATTCTTGCTACAAAAATAAAACAGAAAGTGAAAATCATTGTATAGGAAAGTATTTAAGGGATTATGTGTCTTCAGTAAAACTTGCAAAAGAAATCCTGTTTTATTCGTTTCATTTTGTTTTTGTTACTCCTGACATTGTTGGTTTAAATGTAAAGAATCTGCAAAACACTGGTGAAATGAGTAATTAATTGCTTATTCCTCAAGTTGAAAAATTAGCTAATGAAAAAATCTGAAAATCCTTAGTATATTTAAACAACTGAAAAGAGCAATGGATGGACTACCAAAATACATATAATGTTTTATTTCTATCTTGGTTATTAGTTTGATTGCAGGAGCGTGTAAAGAAGTAGGAAATGTTAAGTACTTTATGTTCAAATGGAAAACGGACCGTGGCTGTAATAAAAAGTTAGTGATGCTTAAGTTTTAACAAAACAGAAGTGAATGTTATCACCACACCTGATTTACAAAGATTTCTGCCTTCCTAAGTTGATCAGTCTAAGTTCCCAAAGGTTCAAAACAATTTAATTTCGGTTTTGAAATTCTGACTTAGTTTTTATATTTCAAAACTAGCTTTCTTTTTCTTATAGGCTGAAAAAGAAAATCCAGGACTCACACAAGACATCATTATGAAAATTTTAGAGAAAAAAAGTGTAGAAGTTAACTTCACAGAATCCCTTCTTCGAATGGCAGCTGATGATGTAGAAGGTAAATCAGAAAGAGTCTTGTTTAGTTTTCTTACAGTTGTTGGAAAGCACTTTTTCCAAATCTTTATTACTTGGCAAAAGGTGCAGCTGCTCCTTCCTCACCCTCTCTTCTTTCCTTTTCTTCTTGTGATGATATTGGGGGAGGGAGGACTATATAAAATAGAAAAGCAGTTCTTTTTGTTTTATGTTTGTCAGATTTAATTACTTGAAATAAAGTGTTTATGTTGTGCAGTTTAATTTTCCCCCCTATTAATATGTTTGATGATTTCTGGTTTTACCAAAAGAGAAACTCTATCGAATGATTATTTAATTTTGTGTTGACTTTATAGCAATTTGAAATAATGAGGGTGTTTTATTAACTTTAGAATAGCTTTTTTTTCCCTCCAAGCACAGATTTGAGAGAACAATATAATCACCTTTACTTCTGCTGCTTTCTCATTTTTTGCTTTTTTAAAACTAGAAATGGGTTTCACTTAAATTTAGCCATTTTCCCACTAATAAAGAAAAAAACAGAAGTACAATTTCCCATACTTATTAAGGGAGAACAAAAGTAAATATTTTGACTAATTCCATAACTTATGTTCTAAACTTAAGCATTTCCAGCCTGTGAGGCCAGGTTACATTGATTGGTAGGGTGTAATGTTTCCAAGTCTACAACCGATCTGCTAGTAACGTGTTTGCCTCTGCCACATCTGGTTGAACTTCCTTTTCAAAGTTGCTATTCTGTGACTTGACCGTTGTGTTGAATTTTTGGTAGTGTTTTTGTTTTTAAGTGAGATATCAAGAACATGCTGAAGATTTTACTAGGTTGTTTGGGCTTTGGTATAATGAGCCATTGTATATTCAAGATAGAGGGTTTGTTCAAGTCATATTCCCCATTGGCAAATGCATACTGTTCTGCCATCATGTTGTCATGAACGTCATTACTTTAAGGTCCCCTTGGGAAATGTAGCTTCAGAGGCCCGATAAATTTGATTAAGACTCCTTTTTAATTTTATTTATTTATTTTGCTTTCATGACTTTCTATTTACCCCAAATTGAAAATGTTTAGTCTTTTATCTTCTGTTACTTTACTTGGTAAGAGCCTTTTTACTATCAAACTAAGTTGAACTCTAACAAATTCTGCTTTGCAACCTTGTCTTTCCTAGTTATCTGGCCTTTCTGCTCCCCTCCCTTATTACCCTGTTGACCAACATTGGGAATTCGTAGACTTGCACTTGACAGGGAGTTGCCTGATGCTTTTATTATGTATTCATTTTATCAGAGTATATGATTGAGCGACCAGAGCCAGAATTCCAGGACCTAAACGAAAAGGCACGAGCACTTAAACAAATTCTCAGTAAGATCCCAGATGAGATCAATGACAGAGTGAGGTTTCTGCAGACAATCAAGTAAGCAACTTCTTGCTTTTGTTCTTTTTTTCTCAACCACTTCAAAGGAACCATTCATTCTAGATGTTTTATTTTGGTATGACATTAATATTAAATTAAAATATTAATTTCAAATAAAATTGGAGTTTTTAAATGGTACATGTTTATTAACTTCTAAGCTGTGGCATTTAGCTTCAGAGTACAGTAACATTATTTTAGAATGTTTGTTTTAAAACAATGAAATGTATGTAAACTGGAATATAGTTTAAACTACATAAACTGTGGAAAAATTAAGTGTCAGATTAAAGTGAGTAGAGAAGTTGGATAAATTATACAGCTTCATAACAAAAGATACCACTATTGCTTTTATTTCAGAATTGGCACGTCATTAGAATAAATCACATACTCTTTGTGAATAGCATTTGTAATATTGACCAAATTGTGAAGCTTCAAATCCTTGCCCTTGGGATGCTGGTTAAAAGACTAAAAATGCATGGGTCCAGGAGGCTGGCTGTTGGGAAAGGTCATTGTAGAGCAGTGGTTCTCATACCAAGACCACTCTCCCCAGGGGTGAAAGGGTGGAGGAACGAGGGGGGAACTACAAACATAACTTCTTGATGAGTAGTTTTAAACTGAAGCGTCTGATAATTTTCTTCAACCGCAATGGATAGAAAACAGAGAAATCTGGAAATAATTGTAGTGTCACTGTTAACGCAACCTGTTGTTGAAACCACAACAAGAAATTGCTAGAAAGGAAAGATTTAGTGGTTGCATCAAACATCGTGTCATTAAAGAACGTTGGGAGGCTCACTTGGAATAAATTTTAACATTCATTTCTCAGAAATAGTACTCTTTGTAATTTACATTCCAAAATGTTATTTTAGTTAGTTTGGGCACTTATTTTGAGTGATATAAAGGGAAGAATATGTCCCATTTTGGAAAATAATGGTTCTTGATGGGCACCCAACCCAGCTATCAAGGAGAGACCCTCTGCTTTTCAGTCTTCTGAGGAACAGAAAGTGTGATAAAGGCTTCATTGACTAGCCAAAATCTGTGCAGTGGGACAAACCCTAAGGTAAATATTTTACCATTATTGAGAAGCCCCAACTTTCTTTAACTATTTTTAATATGTGAAGAAGGAAGACAATCAACTGTTCATGGATTTTTATTTTTAGGTTGGTATAAAGTAAACATGTTTGGCCCATAAAAGGATAAATTGTCCGTGATCTCAAACGGAGTTGTTTAAACAACATTTCTACATTTTTCTAGTAATTAAGTTTAAAATTGTTTTGTTGATCTGTACTACATTTTTATGAAGATTTGACATTTTTGGAATAGTATTTCAGAAAATTTTGCTTCAGGTCATTGAAGTAAAGGTTTATAGAATCAATGTCATCTTAATAATAATATTAATCACTTATATAGAACTTACATGCTAAGCACTTTTTTAAGCACTTTATATACATATTAACTTATTACAAAGGAAAGGAAATTGAGGCATCAGAAATGAAGTAACTTTCCCAAGTTCACAGAGCTAGCTGGGTAGTTTGTAGAGCCTGGTGTGAAGCCAAGTAGACTGACTCCAGGGTTTTCTCTGCTACTTCCTACCATAGATTCATAATGTTGATTTAATTTGGTAATTGAATGAAAAGTTTCTGTTTGGAAGAAGTGTGACAAAGGCCATCTTTTATAGAATGCCAGTAGGGAAGAGGGAGAACAGTATTGTGGTTACAGCTAGGGTAGAAATGATTGGCCCAGAGCCCTCATCCTTCTACTTTAACTCCTTCTCTTGCCCCTAGGGAGTCCTGAAGCCTCTGTGCTAAACCCAGTCTGGCTCTAGAGAGATACAGTTTGAAAACCACTGTATTAACAGCCACATTTTAATCATAAGGATGTTGAGGTCAAGAGCCTAAGACTTGTCCACAGTCATTGACAGAGACTGAATTAGGGCCTTGTCTCTCATTTTTGAGACAATAGTAATATTTCAGTTCTGTTTTCTGGAGTGTACTCTGCACAACTGAATTAAGATAATTGGCAGTTACAATTTATTTTTAAACGTTTCGGGATAATTTGTCATGGAAAGTTTGTTGATAATATGGTATTTCTGAGCCTAAAATTCAGTGATGTATAAATTAGCATACATAGCTAAAGGTGTAATTATCTGTGTTACTGATATAGATAGATAGATAGATGATAGAGGATAGATAGATATATTTTAATATATAATGTTACAACTGTTAAATTATTTAACAAAATAGTAGCTAAAATTTTACCAAAATAAAAAGTGGTTTATCCTTTAGGTTCACGTATTGTGCAGTTACTATTTTTCTTAAAAACATTTTACTTTCTCATATTAAGGTAGGTATGCCTTCTATTCATTTATTTTAGCAATATTTTTCAATGATTATGTATCAAATACCTAACTATATCAAGTACTATTCATGATGTTATAGGTTATATTAGCGTAAAAAAAACATTCCTGCCGGCTAACAAATATCCGGGTATTTTTGTATGTGTTAGCAGACCTAGGTTTGAATCTCCATTCCAGTATTTAGCTGTGTGACCTTGGATAAGGTGCTTAGCTTCTGTAATTCTAGTTTCTACCTGTGAAGATGAGGGTAATAGTTGTGAGAATGGAAATAAATGATGTACACAAAGTGCGTAGCACAGAACCTAGCATCCACTCATAGCACATACTAGCATTGTGAAGTAAGGTTTGTTTTTTTCAATTTCTCTCTGTGGAGTTGATTAGGAAAAATGATCCAGCAAACAAATATTTTAAAGTACTTTTGATTAATGAATGTTTCTGTTTGATTACATTTGAGCTTATGCAAATATTTTGTAAAATTAATTCATGGGATTTTTTTCTAAGTCTGGCACATTCCAATTAATGGATGACTAGTAGAGACTTGTGATTCAATAGACCATAAAGCTATGCATTTATCTATTTACTCATTATAATCTACATTTGCATATTCATAAGCAAAATTTTGCCTGAGTTTGGTTGGTTTCCATGATGGCTTCAAAATAGCTTTTCCAGAGCTGCTTATTCTAGAGCAAACTAAACATATAGCATAGGAATTTCCTTCCTTTAGAGTGTTTGCTAACAGTGATACAGTTAGAAGCTCTGCTATTCTATGCAATTTTTTGATAGGATGTGTGTTTATATTTCATCTGATGCCTGTTGTCCTTTCAGTATATATGTTTTCCCAAAGTTTCCCTACTAAATAGCTGCAGTTTGCTAAAATTCATTCCTATTATATCCATACTCTTTGTCCCTTACCACAGAAACCATTAACTCCAGCATATAATTGTATTGTTGTTTTTTTACCTTCAAAACCTTTTTTACCTTTTCCCTAGTTCTTAATCTATTTAAGTATTGTGTGTGTGTGTGTGTGCATGCTGGCGCATGCTGCTATTTTCTCCCATAGGAACCAAACCCTCAGGTATTCACTAATATAATTTATCTTCCTTGGTGCCATAAATGAAAATGTTGTTCTACGTACATACAGATGACATACTATTTGACATAAATTGATGTAGATTGTTTTAGAGAAAGCCAAGCCTAAGGATAAACAGCCTTGGCCTTTATAAAGCTCTATGGCAAATAATGGATTGATCAAACCTTACTCTACGTTCTGGGTTCCCATACTGTGGTTTCCAAACCAGGTTAATCAGCGGAATCACTTGGGGAGCTTTTATTTTCTTTTTCTTTTAAAGCACAGACAAATTCCCAATATTCATTATAGGATGGAATACTGTCCACTACTAAACCCTTTTCTTCCCTGCCACTGCTACCGCCTTTTGTTTTTGCTCCCAGGTGAGTGAGTGAGCGAGCAACCAGTTTCAGAACTGCTCTTTTGACCTATGGAATCCAGTCATTATCACTATATATGGAACATATGTTCATGTTGATGAGCATTGAATGCACATTTTAATCCTTTTTAGCATAATTTTAAAGTATACCACAAAGTACAGTTGTGTCTAAACAGCTCTCTCATCACTGTGTAACTTGCTCCATTATATTTTGTCTTAAATAGGCTCATTGTGGATTTAAAGAATCATCCATATTCAGAGATTTGACATTTTTTATTTGTTGAAATTGTAATTTTTGTTACATAATAGGATGGTCATGTGACACCTTTTTATTAAGCATAGGTGGACTTAAGCATCACAGCAATACAGAAAGATTCAACTTGCTTAAAACCACAAATGAAAGGAACAGTTGTATAACTTAAAACTGTTATTAGTAAACTAGAGGTAAAAAAAAAAAGTGCATAGATATCATGTCTGTGTAAAATTCTTTGTCTTATTTGAACATATAATGTTTCTACCTGAGGCTGATGTTTGAAACAGGATATATTAAGTAAATACTTACTGAAATGTTATTAATACTCTAGAATAGGTTAAAATAACTTTCTTCATACCAAAGTGTCCTGCCTACTTACAAGTTTTAGAATTTCCACATGTTTATGTACTAGAAATATGCTGTGAAACACACACATGCACACAGAAAGCTGGACAGTCTGCACACTGAGCTTTTTTTTTCTTTAATAAGCAAAGCTGAAATGTTACAGGTATGAAATAATTGAAATCTGACATTTATGATTAAAAAGTCAGTAATAAAAGGTTGTATTTGGGATGGTCTCAATGTATGTCTTACTAATTCATATCTTCACACTTGGATTGCATTTAAACAGCAAAAAGAAGAGATGTGAAAAAGAAGGCTTGCCTTAGAGAATCTGAGACTATTTGTAAATGCAGAATTAGGTTAAGTTCAGTTTGACCAAAAAAATTGCTGTAAGTTAGAACATAAAAATTGAAAAGAGAATAGATATAGAAGATAAGAAGAGTGTAGAAAAAATGGTGCATGGGTAGGAAGAATAGTGAAATGAGAATTATAGATTTCTTCTCTTTCTTTAGTTAGGGGAGAGAGGTATTGATGCATATATAGGGTGCCCCCCCAAAATGTATATACACTTTGAATGATTATAAAGTCAGTGTTTATTAACATACAGTTCATTTTCAAAATTTTTAAAAGAATATACAGAAATGAATAAATTTTTTTGTCAACACCTATTTTCAAACTGATGACCTTTCTGGTCCAGGTATTGCTGGTACACAAAGCAGTGGAATCGCAAACATCAAGAATCATTTCATTCGATATTTGTGCACCTGAATTCATCGACTGTTCCTCATTCTGTACTGTAAACTTTATCTTTTATGTATCTCCATAAAAAATCTAGTGGATAAATTTTCTTTGTTCAAAGCTTAGTTTGGCTTCACCCATTATTTCAAATCAGTTAAACCTGAAAAGGAGTGAAAATTAAGTGAGTTATCTGCTGTTAAAGTGTATATACATTATTGGGGGGATACCCTGAAGGATGATTGCTGGAAAAATTAAGGTAGAAAAATACTCTGATATTGTCTCTCCCAGAAATTTAAATGTACTTTAAATACATAAATACAGGTTTGGAAGGGGAGGGGAGGTGGTCATTAGATAGAAGGTAAATGTTTCAAGAGAACTGTGTCTGAGGAGGAAATATTTTAAAGCAGACTATTAGATATATAACTGGAAGTGTTGGTAAATATGGCAATGAGTTACATGTAATAGCAAAATTTTATATGATTGCTTATGAGATAGCAAAAACAGAATATGGTAACTTGCATTCAGCTGTATTAGAGAAAGAAAAATTATAATTAGAAAAGATGAGAAGCAGAGGCATGTTCTTTTAAATTTAAGTAATGCTGAATGAAATGTTACTAATTCGGGAAAGTTAATGTGGAATGTTTGGTCAGCAGTGCAAGAGAAAAGTCAGGATCACAGAAGGGTACACACTGTAAAACCAGCCAGCCAAATGTTTGCACTTGATGTGATGTTTGTGGGTATGGTAATTAACAGTGTGATTAGTAATTCTTAAAAATATATATACAAACTTCTTTTAGATATAACTGATTTTAAGAAGATTCTTTTTTTTCTTACCCAACAGGGATATAGCTAGTGCAATAAAAGAACTTCTTGATACGGTGAATAATGTCTTCAAGAAGTATCAGTACCAGAACCGCAGGGTAAGTTTACTAAGAAGCCTTGCCACTGCCACCCCGGTGTTTGGTTTGCACCTAGTTATTTCATTGCATTGAGTACTAAGACAGTTTGATTACTGATAATAACCTCCTACCTTTGACTTTGGCTTTTGTGTTATTTCTTTTTTCTTATTTGGTGTTTTTTTTCTTACTATTTTTGATGTCTGTAGGCACTTGAACACCAAAAGAAAGAATTTGTAAAGTACTCCAAAAGTTTCAGTGATACTCTGAAAACCTATTTTAAAGATGGCAAGTAAGTACTTTTACTTATCTTTCTTCTCTTTTAAAATAAAATATATAGTTTATATGATACTAAAACCATATAAATTCTTTTTACTATATTAACCCTCCTACTACTAACTAAGGTAAACTGTTAACAATAAACAGTGAATGGTTGATAATCCAGCCATACCATTCTATAGCAGGGATGGCAGACTTTTCTTTGAAAAGGGCCAGATAGCAAATATTTTGACTTGGTGGGCATGTTGCAACTGCCTGCCTCACCTGTGCTGTTGTAATGCAAAAGCAGCCATAGGTGATATGGAAACAAGGAGCATTGTGGCCATGTTCTAATAATTTATTTATAAACCCTGAAATTTCCATTTTGTGTAACTGTCACCTGTCACATAAGATTTTGATTTTACCATTTAAAAAACAAAAGTATTCTTAGTACACAGTCCATACAGAAACAAGGTGAGATTCAGCTTACTGGCCCAACTTTTTTAGTAGTGTCACAATACCCTGGAAGACTTGTTAAAGCACAAATTGCCTTGGGTCACAACCCCCAGAGTTTCTTATTGTCAATTATTGTCCAAGAATTTGCATTTATTTCTAAGAAGTTTTCAGATGATACTGATGCATAGGTCTCTTGAGAGCTGCTGCACTAAAATTAAAACAAGGGTTCTCTATCCTTTTTGCACATTAGGTTCTCTTAGGTTCATATTTTCCCTGTGCATTGGCTCCACCCACCTTCAGAAATTCTGACTCAGTTGCCTTGGAGTTGGGCCAGGATTTAGGCTTGTTTTTTTGCAAGTGTGCTGCAAAGGTGGTAATCCATTGCCCTGGCAAGAGAGACACTTTCATAGGAAGTATACTAAAAAGGTGAATTAGTTACTATTTTTTAATTTGTATACAGTTGGCTGTTGAACACTCCAGAACACCAAAATTTTTATGTTTTTTTGCATAATATATATAGGTATATATAATGTGTATAAGCTAATGCAGAGGCCATTCTGCAGCATCATACCTTATAGAGAATTTTTTGTATCAAGTAGAATTCAGGAAACTTTGTCGTCAAAACCATTTTTCTAACAGTGTTTAAAGTCAGAAAAATAAAGTGATTATTTCAGTTATAATTGGCAGGGACCTCTAGTATGCTGTCTCACCATAGACGTTTTAAGGTCACTATATCCATGTCAAATTATTACGGTATTATTGTAATAGTATTTAAAAATAATAAAATAATACATTAGAATGGTCTATTGATTTTTAAAGCTATTTTTATAGTTCAAATAAGTAAAAATATTTATATTATAAATCAAAGATGCTGAGCTAAAATATTAATGGTTTTTAGTTGTTCCATACCACTATTCAGATTGTCTCGGGGAAATGCTTCTTCATGATTTAGTTTAATAAGCTGGCAGGTGTGTTCTGAAAATACACTTGCATCTGTTTTTCCTTGATCTCCTCTGCCAAGGCCAAAAAACCAAAAAAACACTTTAAGAGAATAATTTACATGTTGGGATCATTATTTCCAATTCTAACTCATTAAGGACTGTCATGGAATAAGTATATTGACTGTCATGGAATAAGTATATTGAAAGGTAGAGATTCATTTAGAGCCTAATTTTCGTTGATCTGAAATTATTTACTTGCATTCCTGTTTGCAGTTAGGATACTTGGGTTCAGCATTTAAAAATCCCAATGCCTTGGCCCCAAAGTTATTTTTAACAGTTCAAACAGGCATATGGATTATTCAGGTTTCCTGTCACTGCTTTTTCTCCATTCAGCAGCTTTAAATTACAATTATTTATGTATGAATAATGTACCACCAATTTTGTACCTGTTTCCTCAAACTGAAAGTTATTACTACAGCCTGATCTTTGAGTTATCTTTCAATAGGGGGATGAATTTGCATTGATTAAACTAATTCTTCAGGTCCCTCTTTTTTGAGAAACGCCTAGGAAGAAGATAAAATCTTTAGCTGTGCAATTAAGAAACTGACAAGGCCACACAATAGCACTAAGAGCATCAGCTCTGTCCTCTAGTCTCATGAAGATGGGCAGATAGCAAATGTGGAACAGCACAACATAATTTTTAAGAACATATTTTGATATATTGTCAGCTTCAAAAATTGAAACTGCATGATTATTTTGTTTTAAAAGTAGATTAATTTTAAAAGCAGTTCAGAATTCTCAGATTTGTTTTGAAAGACGGTAAGAGAGATTGAGATGGATTATATTTGAAAGTAATTAGGTTTTTCTTAAATATTTATAATGCCCATTGACATATAGATTTTGAGATTGATTATAATGCTTCTGTAGGTTTTAATTTGGTAACTTCTACAAAACCACAGCTGGAGACTGCATTTGAATCAGTTATTTGTTGGACCTATGAATGAATCCTGGTGGTTCACGCTCCACCTATCATTAGTCACCCACCAACCCTTACATGCCAACCGGAACCACTAGGGGGCAGTAATTCCTAGATAGTTTCAAATGATTGAGGGCCATTCAATTCCAATCTGGAATAAAAGGTAAAGTTAGGATACTCAGTACTTCCTCGCCTTTTTTTTTTTCTAAATTGATTTAATTGCTACTGTTAGTAAATAGAATTAGTATAAATACTTTTAAAGAATGAATTTTTTTGGATAAAATTAATGCTTGTTCTTTTTTTTCTCTTTGAACAGGGCAATAAATGTGTTCATGAGTGCCAACCGACTAATTCATCAAACCAACTTGATACTTCAGACCTTCAAAACTGTGGCCTGAAAGTTGTATATGTTAAGAGATGTACTTCTCAGTGGCAGTATCGTACTGCCTTTATCTGTAAATTTTAAAGTTTGACTGTATAAATTATCAGTCCCTCCTGAAGGGATCTAATCCAGGATGTTGAATGGGATTATTGCCATCTTACACCATATTTTTGTAAAATGTAGCTTAATCATAATCTCACACTGAAGATTTTGCATCACTTTTGCTATTATCATTCTTTTAAGAATTATAAGCCAAAAGAATTTACGCCTTAATGTGTCATTATATAACATTCCTTAAAAGAATTGTAAATATTGGTGTTTGTTTCTGACATTTTAACTTGAAAGCGATATGCTGCAAGATAATGTATTTAACAATATTTGGTGGCAAATATTCAATAAATAGTTTACATCTGTTAAACATTTCTTTACTTGAAAAAAATGGCTATATATATATATATAATTATATATATATATAAAATCGGAATACCAAGACTACTTGGGTTAATGTCTAAAGAACTTCTGATGGGAGTTTATTCGCAGTTTATCAGATAATAAAGCAGCAAGAATTTTTATTTTTTTTGTCCTAATCACTCTGGGCAAAAAGTAGTCAATGGAAATATTTTTTTAGTTATGTATGGGGTACTGACTATTTTTCCAGCCTGTTTTAAGAGACATATGAGATAGGTGGCAATTTATAGTGTCTTCACACTATAATGCCACTTTCTGAACTCTGACAATGTAAAATTAAGTCTTTCTTGTGTGCTAGGCCCTAATAAACTTTGCACCTTTCCCCCACAATAGCCACAACTAATAGTAATTTGAAGCTGTACCAGTGCTAGTTGGTTTGAGATTGTCATGAGTGTTAATAATACTATATACTCTTTTTAAATATATATAGTTTTGTTTCACCATAGGGAAGTTTTAAGGGAATTATGTATCAAATATTCATGTTAATAAGCATTTTCATTTTTCAGTTATGAAATAAAGGAAAAAATAGAATTTGTTTATTTTTTATAAAGATTTTAAATGTTAAACTAAATTTCTGTTGACAATATCATTTTTGATGCTATAATGAATTTATTTTTAAAACTTTTCTTCATTTTAAAAAATATTTTAACAAGAATTACTGTCATTGGGAATAAAAAAGGAATGAATTGTCCTCTAGATGTAAAAAGAAAATATGTGGAAAGAAGCAGAACAGTAGACTACTGGATGAAATCTCATAATTTATGGACATTTTACTGAACTGATGTTTTTTTTCTTTCAAGATACATAGCCACTAAAACAAATAGAATTGGTGATCTTAGTAATATTTATTCTTGACAAACTATTATTTACTCTTAGAAGTAGATGGATGGTCTTTTGCAAAATAGACATGAGTTTATGAAAACAAACGTAATTTTTTTTGGAGCAGTAGACTTTTCTAACATAAACCAGTGCTTCCGCATGTTGTTTTTACCTCCTTAACAGAACACGTGAGCTGCCAGCCGTGCCACAACTCATCTGTTTTCATAAGCCGCCTTCTGTCTTTTTAACCCACTATCCAATATCTCTGGCTTTGGTTTTCATGAAATTTACCTCCAGAAAGGACACTTATTCTCAGGATAATTCTGTTTCTTTCTTAATTCTGATGGGGCTGAATTGGGATCAGTGAGGAAAGGGCTAATGTGGCCCCAGTCAGATACATCTCCAGAGAACAGAAAGGTGGCTCCCAAGGAAAGGAAGGCAGGGAGACACTGTCGAGCACCTTCTCTGTGTGAAGAACTGTTCTGGGTACATTAATTATCTTAATAGTCCTGTGATTTAGTTGTCTGCCTTGCAATTGAGGAAACTAAGAGAGCTTAGGTTACAAGAGCTGGTAACAGCTAGAGCCAGGGTTTGAATTTGGCGTTTGTCTCCAGACCATGCTCTTTCCAACAAACTACTTCATCCGTTGCCAGAAATGGACCTTGTTTAGAATTCCGGTTCCCTAACACCAAGCTGGCAGGCTCTCCTGGGCCACAGGGAAGTGAGAGAAAATAGTGCAATGTGATAAGTCTTTTTCATAAATCCAAACTTTAAAGGGTCACTTTTTACTTGGTGATAACGGCTATTTTTTTGGATGTTTAAAATGCTGCCACCTCACACTTTCTTTAAATGATACAGTCGTAGATGGTAGTTGTGTTTTTTTTTAATGATTGCATTTTAATAACCTTATCAGGTAAAACATGAGATTGGCAACTCAATTCAGTCCCTCCTAAATTTTTTTAACTTTATGGAAATGATTTTATTTTTTTAAATATATATATGTGTGTGTGTATACATATAATTTTGTTTTTTCCTTCACCATTTATCCCCTCTATGCCCTCCTCCACCTCCACCTGGAAATGATTTTAAATTTACAGAAAATTGGCAAAAATAAGAATAGTACAAAGAACATCTATACATCTTTTACCCAGATTCACCTATTACTGAGATTTTAGCATTTTCGTTTTAACTTTTGCTTGTTTATTTGCCCTCCCTGAGGTGGTCTTGGCTCCAGATCATTTCTGTGGCCCCCTTTGTCTTTTCCAGAGTTTACGTAACATACAGTCTTCGGTCTCCTGTCGCCCCCTTTTTAATAGCATGTCCTTCATTTTGGGTTTCCTCATTAGACTCAGGTTATGCATTCTTAGGTTACTACATTGGTGATGCTGTGTCGTCATGTGTCACACCTGGAGGCCTACAGTGACCATCAGCTCCTCACTGCTGGTGGTAATTTTGTTCAGGGTTTGTTCAGTTACTCCAATGGAGATTTACTGATTTTACCTTGCAAGTAGAGAGCAAGCTGTGGGAGACTCTTTAAATCCAGGCTAGCTTTTCCCCCTGGATTTAGCATCCATTGATTCTTCCTCTTTATTTTGATAGTTGCAAAATGGTGATTTCCCAGTTACAGCATCTCTTCCTCGCGCGCCAGTTAGCACGCAGCATTCTGCTGTAAGCAGGAACACTCCTTTCTTCATCCATAGCTGTCCACGGGAATTTTTATGTTAACTATTGTTCTGGATTCCTGGTTTTCTATCTTTTCAACTGCTTGCATTTCATTACTTACTTCGGTGCTTAAATTGTCTTAGATCTGGCCAGTAGGAGCTTCTGGCTCCTATTTCCTTGTGGCATCTGCAATCTTTTTTTTTTTTTTTTAGCACATTATCTTAAATAAAAGATGTTCCCAGATCTGGAACCTGGCTGCTGTGTGTGCTCATCTTTACTAGGTGTTTTCCTGCTGCTAGGCCTATTCAGCAACAGAACTAGGAAATGTGCATATACACACAAATGCGCGTATTCACATTTTATACATGCTCATGCCCACATTTGATTCACACTAATATCTCCAATTCCAGTCCAGCCTCAGGGTTCTTTCTTGCCTTCCCCATTTCATATTTCTTTGTCCCCTTTTCCTCAGAATCCTGACTCCCAAAAAAGTCAGTTTATTCACTTGTTCAATCCTATAATCTAAAATAGTTTTTCCTGCTTTTGCCCATATCGCTGTAAAAAACACACACTTAAAAGCCTGCAAAATTATTTGTATTCTCTCCCTGCTTGTACCCTGCCTGAGACTAAGGGTATATAATTACAGTCTGTGTTCATAAATTACTTCGATTCATTCTTTTTTTCTCTTTCACTGTGATTACTTGTTTGAAATAAATTGGGTTCATTTGTTTCAGTTTTCTTCCAAGTGTAAGGTCCTCCCCACCTCCACTTCCCATCCTTGGTTTAATTTTCTTTTAAAGTATAGGACATTAACATGCTTCTAAAAGTCAGAACTATACAAAAAGGTGTCAGAGAAGTGTCACTCATGTCTC